TTAATGTGTACGGATATGAAAACGAAGTATATCCATTGAGAATCAGTAAACAATCAACCCAGATGATCAACTTACTTCTCATATCAAACGATGAAACAAATCACTACTGCTGGATTAAGAACATGTCAACACTGGTATCCACACAAGCTAATAAACATTGTTATAGATGTCTTAACTCATTCCAGTCAAAGACCGCCCTAGAAAAACATGTGGAATACTGCTCTAAAAACGAAGAGGTCAAGATTGAAATGCCTGTAGACAAAGAAGAAAATCCCCTTTATACAACATTCAAGAATTTCTAAAGAAAGATGAGAGTCCCCTTTGTTGTCTACGCCGATTTTGAAAGTTTCACAGAGAATATATCAACCTGCAGTCCAGATGAAAGTAAAAGCTTTACTAAGCAATACCAGAAGCACAAACCATCAGGCTACTGCTATCTCATCAAGTGCTTTGACGACAACATATTTCCACCCAAGCTTGTACGAAACACAGCTACATCCCCAGACGAAGATATCCCGCAGATGTTTGTTGAGTCTCTAGAGTCAGACATTAAGGCCATTTACAATAAGTTCAAGTTCCCTAAGAAGGTTAAGATGACTCTGAGGGATAAAATCACCTATAAAAATGCTACTCACTGCCAGATCTGTGATGGCGACCTGGAAAAAGACAAAGTTTTGGACCACTGCCACCTCACTGGAAAGTACAGAGGTGCAGCTCATAATGAATGCAACCTTAACTACAAAATTCCTAAGTTTTTTCCGGTTGTCTTTCACAATCTGTCTGGATACGATAGCCATCTATTTATCAAGAACCTTGGTACATCAAAAGGTAAAATAAACTGTATACCCAATAACGAAGAAAAGTACATCAGTTTCACAAAACAGGCTGTAGTCGACAGGTTTACGAACAAAGAGGGTAAGCAGGTTGATGTGAAGCGCGACATAAGATTTATTGACAGCCTCAAATTTATGACAGCCAGTCTCGAAAGTTTAGTTAATAATCTACCAAAAGAGGCTTTCAAAAACCTCGCATATGGTATATCGGACGTTATGGTGAGATGAATTCTATCTATGTTAGACGTTAGAACATGCTCTATGAGGTTTGGAAGCTGGAGATCGGATCCATTTAATGTCAGTTCAGGACTGCCACAAGGTTCACCGTTAAGTTGTGTGTTATTCAATATCTATACTGCTGACATTATTGGATGGACAAAAGACGAAGGAACTGATCCATTTTCATATGTAGACGACTTTATCATAAGCTGTGAGAGTGAATCACCAGTTGAAGCACTTGATAAACTTCAATATGCATGCGCAAGATTAGAGCAGTGGACAAATAACAATCATATGAGAATTCAGCCAGACAAAGTATGTTGGATGATGGTTTCATTACGACATTTTGAACGTGATGATCTAGCACTTAAATATGCAGGAGAGRAAGTAAGACAGGAGTTGGAAATTATGTATCTTGGTGTGGTAATCGATAGCAGGCTCAGCATGATAGGACACATTAGTAATAACATCAGGAAAGCAAAGAAAGCTCTTGGAGTAATTCGCTATGCAGCTTGTCAGAACATCACATTGAACAGCCTTGTGAGCTTGGTACGGTCAACAGTATTGAGTAGATTAGAGTATGGGCTACATGTCTGTTGTCCAATTTCTGACWATCAATTCAAGAGAATGGATATGCTACTAAATCAGGCACTGRGGGTAATTAGTGGTGCAGCACAGAAAACTTCTGGCGAAGCCCTAAAGTATTACTTAGGATTTTATTCAATCAAGCAGCTGTACAATCTAAAAGCCGGAAAAGAACTYGTCAGAGCTGCGACAACGCMAAGTCACCCATTGTTTGACGTGTTAAGAGAAACAGCTTCACACACAGATGTGCGACTTAAAATCGTTAAACCATGGAGCTCAGTTGCAATGAATATCATCGAAAATATAGTACCTATCAACCTAATCTCGAGCAACATCTGGGTACCCTACAATGATAAAAGGTTAGCAATTGATATCGTTGGAAGTAGGGAGTGGAGGGATAGAAACCCAATCATCAATCAAGCCGAAGTAGAACAGTACATTGAATCCGTCAATGTTAACATCATCATAGCAACGGACGGATCGGTACGAGAGGACGTAACAGCATGGGCGGGGCTTGTATGGAAAAATAACCGGTGCATTTATAAGTGGTGTGCAGGAAAACATGGTAGGACTAGTTCCTTTCGTGCAGAGATGGAAGGAGTAGAGGATGCTCTATTTTGGATGTCAAATAATACCTCTGTCCAAGATACTACACTGCTCCTAACGGACTCTAAAAGTTTGGTAGCACAATTGCAATCTGGAATGGTAAAAAATACATGGCTGAAACTGCTGAGGAAAATTTAATCTTCAATACGAATCGCCTACATCCCAGGTCATGCGTGAATCACGTATAATGAGGCAGCCGACCATCTGGCGGGAATGGCAGAACCATTCGGACACATCACTTTTTACCAGCAAGATATTACAAATCGACTGAAAGAAAACTTGAATAATGACAACGCACCAAAGAAGACCTGGTGGTCGTTTCAAAGAATGAATGAACGGGCAATTAAATTTGGAGATGGAGGACGAAAGACAACCCGACTAAGTAACACTAAGACTGAAACCCAGGAAATCATGGGGTTGATAACTAAGAACACTTTGACTAATATTCTTAAGAAGGGATGGCCGGAGAGCTATATCTCTAAATAAATAAATAAATAATAAATAAAAACCTCGCAAGCTACTGAGGGGGAGAAACTCCAGCTGCTACTTAGAAAGGGTGTATTTCCATATGATTGGTTTGATAGCTTCGCAGCCCAATTACCACCTAAAGATGCGTTCTATTCTAGACTCAACGACACTGACATAACATATGAGGACTATCAACACGCTCAAAAAGTGTGGGAAACCTTTGAGATGAAAACAATGGGGGATTACCACGACCTATACCTTGAGTCAGACGTACTATTATTGGCCGACGTCTTCGAGAACTTCAGAGATGTTTGTCTTGAGAACTATGGGTTAGACCCCGCATGGTACTACACAGCACCCGGACTGGCTTGGGATGCAGCCTTGAAAATTACCAAAGTAGAGTTAGAGTTGCTAACTGATATTGACATGCTACAAATGATTGAGAAGGGTATTCGTGGGGGTGTTTCCATGATATCCAATAGATATGGTAAAGCTAACAATCCCTATATGAGTGAGTATGACCCCAACCAACCCACTAAATATATCACGTATCTTGACGCGAACAATCTCTACGTTTGGGCAATGAGTAAACCTCTACCAACTCATGGGTTTAGATGGATGCCTAAACAACAACTAAAATGATGGAGAAATCATCCATGCATCCTAGAGGTTAACTTGGAATATCTCAAATGCCTTCATCACTTACACAATGACTATCCATTAGCTCCAGAGAGCATCAAGGTCGACAAAGTAGACAAGGTAATCTCAAACCTCAATAACAAAACAAAGTACGTAATCCATCATGAGACTCTAAAACTTTACGAAAGCCTTGGGCTAAAAGTCACCAAGATTCATAGGGGTATCACATTTGAAGAGTCTGCTTGGTCGAAGCCTTACATTGACTTGAATACCAACCTACGTGCAAAAGCAACCAACGACTTTGAGAAAGATTTCTTCAAATTGATGAACAACTCTGTTTTTGGGAAAACCATGGAAAACATTAGAAACAGAGTGGATATCCGTCTGGTTACGAATGAATCTCAAGCCAAGAAACTAATATCAAAGCCAAACTATCAACATCGCACCATCTTTTGTGAGAACCTTACCGCCATCCATATGAAGAAGACAAAGTTGGTCTTTGATAAGCCCGTTTACTTAGGCATGTCCATTCTGGACCTAAATAAAACATTAATGTATGAGTTTCACTATAACTACATCAAGTAAAAATATGGTGACAGAGCCAAGTTGTTGTTCACAGATACGGACAGTCTTACCTATGAGATTGAGACAGAGGACTTTTACAAGGATATCAGCAAAGATGTAAAATCCATGTTTGATACCAGCAACTATCCAAAGGATCACCCATCTGGTATTGAGGTGGGCGTAAACAAGAAAGTCATCGGAATGTTTAAAGATGAGGCTGGAGGTCACAAATTACAGAATTTGTAGGACTGAGAGCCAAACTTTACTCATACAAGATGGACGAAGGTAAAGAAGAAAAGAAATGTAAGGGTGTTAAGAAAGCTGTCGTAAAGAAATGCATCAGTTTCGATAACTACAAGGATTGTCTATTCAATAAACAACCACAGATGAGAAAATGAATGTAATCAGAAGCCATAAACACGACGTTTACACTGAAACGGTTAAGAAGGTCGCCCTATCACACGAGGATGACAAGCGAATTATTTGTGAGGATGGTGTACATACTTTCGCTTACGGTCATTATAAATTAATTGAAATGACTTAAAGAATAAGAAAAGTATAATAAAAGATGGAAGAAGCACGAAACAAGAAATTTGGAAAGTGTAAGAGCTATAGATATCCCTACGATTTTTTAAAATAAGGTCGTGAGTTGAAAACATGTATCAAGTGTAGGGAACTTGCTAGACAGTCAAGAATTAAAAATAGATGTCCGCATGGTAGACGTAAGGATTACTGCCATGACTGTGGTGGGACACAAATATGTTTGCATGATAAACGCAAGTTAGAATGTAAAGACTGTAATGGAAGTCAAATATGTTCTCACAATAAGCTAAAGTCTTGCTGTAAAGACTGTAATGGAAGTCGAATATGTATACATGAAAAGCGTAAGGATTACTGTAAAACTTGTTCGGGTAATATTAAAGTAATCATTAAACAATGGATCTCTAGTAGTAGACAAACTGATAGAAAATATAAACGATATGATGCCGATCGATTCGTTGATAAATGTTTCCTTCAAGGGCTAATTGAAGACTATCCTAAGTGTTATTATGAAGATTGCAAAGTGAAGCTTCAATTTGATGAATTTCAGGATGATCTGGCAACGATTGAGAGATTAGATAATACCATTGGGCATATAAAGAGTAATTGTGTCCTTTGCTGCAAAAGTTGTAATAACAAGAGAAAATCTGACTGTTTCAACACAGAATTAGGAGGCAGCTCAGTGTCTGGAGGCACAACCTGAAGCTCTTCCCTACTAAATCCACGCCTCGGTCCACCCTCCGATAGATAGTACAACACAGGCTGTCCAACCGAAACAACACTGCGTGATAAATCATAGATATCCAAACTCCAGACCGGATCCGTTGCACGACTGTTATCACCTCCTTCGTCTTCACCCGGCGCAAGCAAATATCTTACTTTAACACCTGGAGGCAGTCTCACTTCGTCAAGTCCAACAGGCCGCTTGTATTCGACGGGTTTAACATCAACTTCTTTGAGTCTCACAGCTTTATCAGTTTCTTTCCCAGTGATGCGTCTTGGCTTATTATTCATTGCTTCCAAAACTTCCGGTAACCTCTTCACCCATTCTCTTGATCTTTCATTTTCTAATAACATCTCTTGAGCATATTGATGACTATACAATCTTTCAGACAAAGTTCGATTTGCCCGCTCTATCACAGATTGAGCTTTATGGTTTTTAGCCTCACTTCTTTGAATTCGAACACCCTTCTTTTTCATGAGTTTTGTAACATCGCCCATAAATTCTGTCCCAGGGTCGACAATCACCGTATTTGGCCACTTGAGTTTCCTTGAATAGATTCTTTCAAACGCTTTAGCAATTCCACTCGAATCTTTACTCGTTAGCGCTTCAGCATGAACATACCTTGAAGCAACATCCACCACTAACAGCGCATATTTGTAGGTCTTTCGTTTTACAGTATCGTGAGTTAAGAACAATAAATCAGCCTGGTGGATATAGTTTGTTTTGACAACAGCCCAATGTGGTCTTGGAATATATTTTGGAGGCGGTAAATAGATTTGCCAAGCCACTTCTTAGATGTAGATTGGCTCACTTTAGCAGCATCTGCCAATTTATTGATAGCTTCATAGCCTTTCCAGTACCCTCTTGTACTGTAGTATATTTTCGATAACCTGCTTTCGTCGTTATTCATTTATTAAAGATTATCTATCCTTCTCTTAAAAATAATTATGTCTCAAGCTATATCGGAAAAACTTAATCCAAACAGAATCCCACGAGAACCTTTCGGTTTGAAGGCCGATGCCTCACTAAATCGAATCACACTGAACCCTTCATCCGCAAATCCCGGGTAGTGTATCCCTACTATTCGACTTAGGCGCCACAGGACATGCAAATAATACTCTCGTCAACAACGTTGGTCGAAACCTAGTATCTAGGCTCAAGATTCTTTTCGGTGGAGAAACACTGCAAGATACCCAACGATACGATCTATTTCAAACGTATCACGACCTATTCATCCCCAAGGAGGAACGAGAGGATCTATTGAAACAGGGTATCTCATCAGAGAATATGAGAAAACTCAGAACGAACGCAGGAGATAGGGTTACCTCTGATGCAAAAGAGGTGGCTCTTGCAGCAGTGCATAATACAAAATACAAGATCCCACTGGACCATCCTATTCTGAATGATCATGGTGTTTTCTATCCAAAGGCCCTACCACACCCACTTACATTGAGATTACACTCGCTGCCGTATCAGACATTGTTGTCTATTCAAGCACCACACCAGCACCTAATTACACCATCACAAACCTTGAACTGGAGTACCTATGCATTTCTAGTGAATACCTTGCTAGGGAGGCGGCGGTTTCTTATCAAGTTGGGAAAGGCTTCTTCTACGAGAACATCATTCTTCACAAGACTTTCACCATCTCCAAGCCAAATGACTCGATTCTTAACGAACATATCAATCTACCGAGAAAGTCAATGACAGGAGTGCTCTGTCTATTTACAGAGAACCACACAGGGGGAACACGAGACACTGAGAAATTTGTAAACCCAGATATAAAATCGGTTCATGTAAACATAGACGGAATGCCAAATCGACTCTATTCAAAAGGAATGATACCAGCTGATTTGTGGGAATCGATAAAGAAACGTTTTGGTTTCACGAGTTCACTTAAGCAAAAAGATTTTTACACCAACAACAAGTTTGCTCTGTGGATCGACTTGAGGACACACCCAGATAACAGCATTCACGGAGGAGGTCTGGTCTTGAACAACACGCGAGACGGAGTAAAACTTGAAATGAAACGGAAAGTTGGAGGAACGGGAAATATYAACTGTCACATGTTTGTAGTGGCCGATACGTTGATGGAGGTTATGAACTCGAATTTGAAAGCAATCATGTATTAAAAAAGACTTGTGTGATAATACAAAGAATGGAAGAATTACGAGATAAAACACCATTTCATTGTATCATCACAGGACCAACTAACTGCGGCAAAACTGAATACCTAATAAACCAATTAAGGGGTGAATACAGATATGTTTTCAACTACATAGTGCTAATTTGCCCGACATATGARAAWAACAAAACATATAAGAATTTCGCTAACGGAGATAAGCGATTCATTGTTATTTCACCCGAAAATAACCAAGATGAGATTAATAATATTTTAGAAGATGTTGAAGAAGTATTTGGCGGATTAAATACATTCGTAATTCTTGACGATTGCGCATTTACAAGAGATTTAAAGCAGCGGTCAAATAAGTTTATAAGTCTTGCTTTTTCAGGAAGRCATAATAATATAAGCATGTGGGTTCTTACACAACAACTAACCTCAATAGCTAAACCATTTCGTAACAACGTTGCCTGCGTGATAGCATTCCATAATCCATCTCAAATCGGAACAGAGACTCTCTTTGAAGATTATGGAGGTGACTTGGATGATGAAACACAAAAAAATTCATAGAACTTTTAAAAGCAGAACGATATTCTAGACTGTGTTTCTGTTTGAGGTATCCATTTCAATGTTATTTAGAGATTCCTACGGTGATTTAAAAGAATCTATGTAATATTATAAAAGTAAGATGGCAAGCGTTGAGGATTATATGAAAGAGGAACCTAAAGTAGAGGTCTCCTCTGTACCTAGTCTACCGACTGATGATGTTGAAGTAAAACGTGAGTCACTGGCCATTCTCGCATCGTTGGGGACTACTAAGGAGTATCTCGGTGTTAACATGCATATGAGTCTTGGTGATATCAAGAAGCTCTCATCAAAAGACGTTGAGAAATACTTTAATCGCTATCAGACAGTCTTAGGAAAGCAGGTAACAGGAGGCTTGGTAGAATCTGCACTTCAAGCTGTGTCTCACGTCATCTCCTACGTAGTTCCTGTAGATGACACCGAAGCGCTTAGCAAAGACTTGCAGAACGATGAGTTGGTTAAACGTGAATTGTCAAACTTTGCAGGTCTCTTGGTATTGAAGGGAGGAAGGATGGTAGCACTAGCGTCAGCATTATTTCAGGTTGCTAAGCATGTTAAACTAACATCTTCACAGGAGAACTCCAACAAAATTCAAGAACTTTCTAGCACAACTGAGCAGGCTACTGAGCACAACTAAGCAAAACTCTTAAGCACAACTAAGCACACTCTTGAGCACACTCTTGAGCATGATTTGATTTAAAGATGTCAGACGAAAATCAATTTGTTGAACAAATAACAAAGAATCCTCTTCCTGAAAAGAAGAGTGCTACTAAAGAGAAGGACCCTAAAAAAGTAGCCTCGGGGCGTAAATTAGCAGAATATAATAGGAAGGCGAAAGAATCACTAGCTAGGGAAATGAAACGTGTAGCTGAAACGCTCCCTGAAGAAGCTACAGTAGACGATGAGGGCTCGTCTCAAAAAGCTTGGATTCCAGAGCTATCTTTTACAACTGTGCTTTCTCTTATGAGGTACTACAAAAACAGAGTAGTGGATTTATCACAAGTTCCGACTCATGTACCTGAATCATTCAAAGAACCACCACCCTCAAAAATTTCTATCCCACAGACCACCGGCCGAGCTTCAACGGGTCCGAAAATAGGCATGCAGTAAGAAAAAAGTTTAAAGTTTTCTCTGTTGATGAATAAAATATGTCGTCAACTGAAAACAAACTTGTGAAAACGGTTACCGATTCAGCCGTCATTATCGGATTGGCCGCCGGTGTAGGGTATGTTGCTAAAATGGTAATGAAAGAGTCTTTTTTAAGCGACCCCTCATCAAGTGTTACAAATTATGCTAAATGGGTTGTGGTGTTTGGAATAAGCATGTATTTGAAGAAAGGTCTAGAAGATCATTCCTAAATCCTTATAAAAAGATAATAATATTACTATATTATATAATGGCGTCAGCAGTTGTTATGATGGTAGCAGGGGCGCTTTTTAACGCAACAGCTTTTACTGGTAGTATGTATCTCGCTAAATCATTGGATAAAAAACATGAAGATGAAGAGAGAATAAGACATGATAAAGCCCTCGAAGCTTATGAAAAACAAATGGGTGAATATGAAAAGAAAAGACAAGCATATCAAGACTGGCTAACTAAGGAATACACTGATAAGAAACTAGCGGATGAAAACTTAGATAGTACAGATCAGGCATTTATTTTGTATAAAAGAGCACATCCTAATGTTAATTTTGATATTGATGATAAACCACAGTTCAAAGATTATTATACACCTAGTAGCAAACAAAAACAATATGAGATGATTTATATAGGAGGTGGTATGCTGGTGTTGGTTATCTTGCTAGTAAATGGATATAGTTCTTCGGTGTAGATTTAAAGACTTCTTATTTTATTTTCAAAATAAGAAAATGGATGTAGATTTTGATCCCACAACAGAAGAAGGTAGAGAAGATTTGAATACTACTGTAGACGAAGATTATGATTGTCTTATTCCAAACTATGGTGAGGGAATAGAATCATGGAATGAAAGGATTTCAAAAAGATTTGGTAGAGGTGCAAGCTATGTGAAGGGGAGGTTGATTGATTTATGGAAAACACGAAACCCAGGGAGGGTTGTCCCCGAATACATGGAATTACAGAATATGGAGGATTCTTCTACTGATAGACTAAGAGTAAGCACTTTGCTTACGAAATATCCAGATCTTGATGAAAATTTAGTTCAGATTTCAACGAATGAAAGAGGAAAACAATTCATTTCCGTCTTTTCTGCAAGAAAAGGTGGTTGGACAAGACCAGAAAGGTTGTATAATGAGGATAAAACGGTGCGAAAGAGTGTTGACACCAAAATCAGATCCGGAAAGTAAAAACAAATTCAGATTCAACTCGATGAACTAGACGCTACAGCTAATACACTCAGAGAAGAAGAAGAGAGAAATATCGAGCAAATCAGAAAAAATAATGATGAACAAGCTGAAACAGCTAATCAGGAACGGCTTAGAGCTTTAGATCGGGAAAACGAAAAACTCAGCGAGAAAATCTTGAAGAGAGAATGTCTCTGAAGGACCGTGTAAAGGCGATTTTTAAGAAATATGGATTTACCACCGTTGTGTGGTTACCGCTGTGGGTGTGGTTATTGGTGTTATTGTAAGCAATCTGAAAGCCGGGCTGACTATCGTCGCAAATGGTGTGGGGAATGGGTTGAAAACCATAGGTAAAAAATTAGGTGAAATACTCCCCGGGATGGTTGGTGCGATAGCTAGTTTCATATTCAAAACGGCTGGTGAAGTTGTCGGCTTTTTTGCCAAAAACGCGTGGCTTCTCATCTTATATTTCGTCCTATATTTTGTAGAACAATTTAAAAAGAGACGAAAATCATAACAACTGGTATTACTCTACATTGAAGGAAAAGTTGCTGACTTCACAGTCTATTTAGAACAACCCATTGAAAAGCCGTGGTTTATTACGTTGCGAAGGTGTACGTTTTATAATCGCTGGAAGAATCTATCAAGTGAGGGAACTGTTACTGACGGTGAAGGTCAAGAACCTATCCTTAGGATCCCTGCAGGATATTATACGGTTGAAACGGTAAAACGTCAAATAGATGAGGCTTTGCGTCTTGGTGAAAAGTCAATCTCTATTGAAAAATCATCACTCAAAGCTCATCAAAACGTTGTGTTGAATGATTCACTTGCCGATTTATTAGGACTCAAAAACAAAAGTCTGAAAGCAAAATCTCAACACGA